ACGGAGCTAGAATTATGTTATTTATTATTTATTCTACTACTGATAGTTGTATAAAGGCAGTAAATCTAGATGGACATTGTGGCAGAACTTAAATTAACAGTGACTCTAAAATAGTTGGTTGTGTAGCGTGCGACAGATCTCGGCAAAAATTGAGTGAAATAATGGAACAACTTTTCGCTAGTAAGTGGCTATATAATATACATACGTGTAGTAAACCGATCATTTATGAAATTCACTTAAATTAACTAAATTATATATTTTTCTTGCATTTTAGCTTTTATTTATTACTTGTCATAGATTAGATGTCAAAGAATTTAGATACGTTAATTTGACTTACCTGCTTCAGTAGCGTATCGGATGTTTGTGTTAATAAATAATTATTATAACTTATCTATTTTTATTAGAATTTTATATTTTTATAACAATTTTAATAACTACCAACATTTATTCACAACGTAAAATAAAACAACAAATTATTGAGTCTACCCCACGTCTACCCTACATCATAGTTTTACATTTTTTAAATAAAATTAGAACCCCACTGATAAACCGGAATTTAAGTCGGCCATATTTGAGGCCCATCGGCCATATTTGAGGCCCTTCCTTAGTCTTCTTCAGTCTTCTTATTCAAAGGACGAAATAAAGTTTTTAACCTATCCTCGCTGTTAAAGTATCATTTAATCTACTATTTTTGATAGATATAAGGCAATTTTAACAATTGCTATGGAAAAAAAAGAGTAAATTTTAATCTAACATTCAACTCTCAGACTGGAAATTTGTTTCTCAAACCGATCTTAAAAATTTAAATTAGCAATAAAAAAAGACAAACATTTATTTCGAGATGTACTTTATGTTTAGTTTATTCAAAATATACAGGGTGTCCTAGAGTGAGAGTACATTAGCAGTTTCTAGAAAACTACAATATCTAGATAGGAGATTTTTTGCACATCATTATTATCGATTAAAAATATTTTCAATATGGCGGCACTTCCGGACATACCGGAAGTTGACAGCAACTCTCTTATTTCAAATGGGTATCCCTATTTTTTATTACACAGGCTATACAATTTTTTTTGCCAGTCAGTTTTTTCGTCCAAAAATTTTACATATTTTTTTCTCAAAAACGGTTAATGTATAGAGTGTTTAATATCAAAATTCATAAAATTTTAAGAGAATTTAAGTATGTAATAAAAAATGGGGGTACCCATTTAAATAAATAACGCTTTATTATTGTACAAAAAGCCAAAATAGCTTCATCGACAATGCATTTACAAAACAAACAAAAGCACAATAAATATTCAAATAATAAAAAATATCATACAATACAAATCATACAATTCAAAAAAAATTACCTACGTCATTAAAATTACTACATTAATACATGGACATTGCAGAACACAAAAAAGGCGTATCAATAAAATTTTACAATAGGAACATTGTAAATAGATACCGTATGATCGAATAAAAACGGCGTCAGCGATGGCTATGAAATGAAGATCGCTGTCATTTTATATGTAAATTTATATAGGAAATGGCATCGATCGTCATTTCCAAGCCAACTGGACGCCGTTTTTATTCGATCATACGGTATAATCAGTTAAGAGTCATAAAATATTAAATACTAGAGACTTTTAACCAGTGTGTGAGATGATCAAAATTTTATAATTCAAAATTGTTCATGATTAAACATCAACAAAAAAGTCGTTTAACACATATAGGGCTCTCTCCAGTAAGTATGATTTCAGAGCTTTGTGAAATGCGAAAAAGAATGAAAGCGACTTGATATTCAAAGGCAAAGGATTGTACATTTTTTTGGCATTGTACAGCATTGAGCCTTTAACTAGTTCTGAGCTCGGGGTTGGCAGATAAAGATCGTGCTCAGCCTGGGACACGCTGTAGGCCCTGTGTAATGTTGTTAAAATAAACACAGAGGGGGGGTGTTATGTTTTCAGAGGACAGGTTATATATTTCTTTCGGTGTAGATAAGCCGCGTCTTCCAGGGCGCTTTCCGTTGTTTATCCAAAGCAAACTCTGATTATATGACGGCGCGAACAGATACAATACATATAAATTAGATCTTGTCTGCGGAACTAAAACAAGACCGGCTGAAACTTCGGCAGTACTCGCATAAATCTCTCAAACAGAATTTGCGGTTTTTGTCGAGATTCGAACCTAATACAAATAGACTATGCGATAGACGTTCGAATTCGAAGTTAGAATTAGTTAAGTTCTCCTGTTGTTGCAAATCTTTTGTTACAAGAGCCGCACGGTAAACACTGTAAAAGTATACAGGGTGGCGCACCTCATTCGCCTCGGTTGATTATACGAAAACGGAAAGATGTAGAAACAAAATATTTTATGGGCATATGCGGGAAGGTAATGTGAATCATTTAAAATTATTTTTAAATGTACAGGGTGTGTCAGAACTAAGATCCATACCAAGATCCATCCATCCATCTGTCTGTCTGTCTGTCTGTCTGTCTGTCTGTCTGTCTGTCTGTCTGTCTGTCTGTCTGTCTGTCTGTCTGTCTGTCTGCCTGCCTGCCTGCCTGCCTGCCTGCCTGCCTGCCTGCCTGCCTGCCTGCCTGCCTGCCTGCCTGCCTGCCTGCCTGCCTGCCTGCCTGCCTGCCTGCCTGCCTGCCTGCCTGCCTGCCTGCCTGCCTGCCTGCCTGCCTGCCTGCCTGCCTGCCTGCCTGCCTGCCTGCCTGCCTGCCTGCCTGCCTGCCTGCCTGCCTGCCTGCCTGCCTGCCTGCCTGCCTGCCTGCCTGCCTGCCTGCCTGCCTGCCTGCCTGCCTGCCTGCCTGCCTGCCTGCCTGCCTGCCTGCCTGCCTGCCTGCCTGCCTGCCTGCCTGCCTGCCTGCCTGCCTGCCTGCCTGCCTGCCTGCCTGCCTGTCTGTCTGTCTGTCTGTCTGTCTGTCTGTCTGTCTGTCTGTCTGTCTGTCTGTCTGTCTGTCTGTCTGTCTGTCTGTCTGTCTGTAACACGATAACTCAAAAACCGCTGAACCGATTTTAACCAAATTTGGCACAAAAATACTGTGGCACCCGAGAATCTGGCCATAAGTTTTTGATAGGGTGGGGGATTGGTAAGGGGGTATTGGAGGGGGTTAAAAATTTAAAAAAATCGTAACTCCAAAATTACAGTAGCTAGCGAAACGCGATTTTCAAATTAAGATTAGGAATAATATTTGCAACAAAATTTGTAATAACATCAAAATCAGTCAAAGTCGCAGTTTTTTTGATATTAACATATTTTAGTATGGGCTAGTAGGTTTTTTGAGATATTAACAAACACACACCGGAAAAATCTAGGTATATTATTTTATTAAAGTTAAAAATAAATGCTTTGAATAAACAACCACATATTTGTAAGCCGATTCTTTCTACTTCGATTGAAACGAAGTAGTCACACTAGTTATTTCTAAATTTGGGATATTTGCAAAAGTGTTTGTGCATTTTTTGTCAAATGTATAAAAAGCACCTAACGTCAATTGTTCGAATTTAACCTGTACTGGCTATGTTTTTATGATAACTGACCAGAATTCATTCAAATATCTCTGTTTAGTATTAAACGACATTATGGAGCTGAAGCCTTTAAACAAAGTTTATACAAACGGTGCACGTGGGCATAAAGTCTTTTTAAAACCAACTTGTTGTAGCTCTGTTGTACACCCTGTATGTCACAACTTAAAAGAAATAAGACATTTTCTAATTACCCTTCATTCGTTCTAAGCCTCCAAAATACATCCTGGTTAGTAATTACCCTATATATTTACCTTTCATACTGATGCAGCCCTGCTTGGGCTCCTTTAATCTGACAAATTGGGGATGAACCTACCCCCCTCACTCTTTCTATTCCTGCTTCCTGAAGGGGAGGAATTATTACAGTTCAGGTGAGGAGAGGTAAGGTGGAAGAAGAGGGAGAAGTTTGTAAAGTGATTCCAAAGTGTGAGGAAAGAAGGAGTTCAGAGAACAGATAATGAATGGGATGTTTTTGGGAGTTTCTATACCGAGCAGTTTGAATAAACTGTTTTAAGGTGGCCTAAAATTCTAATTGTATACAGGGTGGTAGAAATTCGAGGTACGAGCATTGGTATCTCGGTAACTGTAATAGTTACGAACATGGTTAAATTAGAGCAAAAGTAGACCAAGATGCCATCAAAAAGTTTTAAAAATTTCAAGGATTGCTGAGTTTTTTGGAAAAAAAAGGATTTTTTGAAAATTAATTTTATTTTTTCCTGTCGTTATTTTTTGGAAAATAAAAAAAGTAATTGCACATTCTCATAGCCACTTCATTAGGGCTATCTGATAGTATTTTTAGATTTTCAAATTAGCTGATAATCTGTGAGATACAGAGGCCGACTTAATTTTTTTAAATACGGACCTGGATTTTTTATTCCAGTTTATGAAAGCACTCGGTATCCTGAGCAATAAAAATAATATAAAATAAATAATAAAAATATAATATAATATAAAAAATCAAATCATTTCCCCGGAAGACGAATTGAAAATGGTAGAGCAGTGTAGTGGCCTGCGAGGTTCCTGGACCTGTGAATGCCAGAGATACGGGCGGTGTTCCAAATTGCAAAATTTTCAACAAGACCCTGTAGCTCAAAAACAAAGAGATCTATAAAAAAATTGTTTACAACATCTTCTGTTTTACAAAAAAGTGGAACAGGTTATCTTCACTAATAACGGAGATACCGTATGATTTCAACTAAAATGGGACACCCTGTACAGTGTGTGGAAAAATATGCTACTAAAAATATAAAGAAAAAAAACGAAATTATAGGTTTCAACCCTCAAATTAAAAAAATTATAATTTTTAAAAAAGAAAAATGGTCTAAAACTATCGCTATTAGTAAAATTAAATTGACTTTATATCGAAATTACCTGAAATAATCTCTCTGATCTATATTTTATGGTTTTAAACATTCAACCATATCAGACTTGTGCCAAAATTATTACCGATTACAAACAACATATATCTATAAAGCTATTAAAATATTACCGACAATTACTTTAAATAGTTTCATTTATTAAAAACAAGTAGATAATTATGCGGTTTTTAATTTTATTTTTCTTCAAACTATTTGCACTAATACGCGAAAATGTCGTTGTGGTAACATCTAGGCAACCTACAACTGTTTGCGATACTCGGGAGGCTTATTTTGATCATCCAGAAACAAATAAGAATTGTCGAATTGACAAAGACCTTAATGTTTCAGTAGTAAGTACTTTAGAAATATTGTTTTTTCCATAGCTACTGTTAAAATTGTCTTATATCTATCAAAAAGAGTAGATAAAATAGTACTTTAACCGCAAAAACTTTATTTCTTCTCGCACGTTTTTTAATTGCTTCCATTTTTGAAAATTTTTGTATTCCTTTTCATAAGTTATTCGGGATTTAAATGAAAGTAGTTTGGATATGGCGTTTGTCGCCTCAGCCTGAATATCTGTTGGTAATTTACTTATTTCGTTATTTGAGTTTGAAAATATTGACTCAAAACTGACAACTAAAGAGACAGCTTTATTTATTTGTCAAATTACATAGAAACCGACGCCAACCCAGCACAAGACTGTGAAATTTATACAAGGCGATAAAATTGTATTTTATCACTTGTAAAATAATAACTATTAACCCTTTGTATGTATTCTTTAATTCACATGTGCCTCGTTTATTCTTTAACTACGAGCCCTAACAACTAAAAATTGGGACAAACAAAATTTCATTGAAAATATTAATTTACACAAACTTAATTAATAATTTTAAGAACTACATTAACAATATACGAGTAATAAAATGTACCGAAAATCAATTAATGTATGGGGTGTTTCATTACAAAAAACACAACTTTGATTCATAACTTTTTTGGGAATACCCTGTAGAACTCCAAAAATTTTTATAAAGTGCTTTGCTCTCAAAATCTCTTTTCGATATAAACTACCGTTCTCCTTTGGATTCTCCGCGTCGTATTAGAAGCGCCACCCTGTATGTATGATTCCCTTTCCGAACTCAACGATATGTACCGTATGATCGAAAAAAAAAACGGCGTCAGCGATGGCTATGAAATGAAAATCGCTATCATTTTATATGTACATTTTTATATGGAAAAGGGATTGTTCGTCATTTCCCAGCCAACTGGACGCCGTTTTTTTTTCGATCATACGGTATTTTAAAGGGTATTAAGTATCTGAGATCTTCCAGAGAGTGTATTTAGTGTCCCGATTTCTATTTGTTATTATATGTTATTTAGAGTGAAATAGCCAGGAACCATGGTTTTATTCTGGAAAAACACACAGTAGAAACAGACGACCTGTACCAATTAAGCACCTATAGATTAAAGAAAATAGACAAAGATTATGGAAACAAAACTATTTTTCTTCAACATGGTTTGATGGCAGATTTTACTAGTTTTATAATTAATGGCAACAATTCTATAGGTAAAAAAATAAAACAATATTGAAAAAGAGTAAACAATTTTTTTCAGCTTTCTTTTTTGGAAATCTTGACTATGATGTATGGCTAGGAAACTACAGAGATACTGAGTATTGCGGTCACAAGTACTTGAAACGATCTGATCCAAAATATTGGGAATTTAGGTATAATTTTTCTTGATTGCTACAAAGCTTGTCATCCCAAGCAGTATTTGGACGTCGGGACAACGTTGTGTCACGCGACCAAACGTCGGGGCGCAACGTCGGCACAACCTCGTGCCAACCCTAGTCTGCACTAGTTTGGAGAATAATTTTTGGGTCGAAACGACGTTGGATACCGACGTTGGCTAGAAGCCGAATTTAGTACAAACTGCAACGTTGTTTAAAATCCTAATTCATAGAAATACAAAACTAATATGGCGTCTAAGTCGCGTTTTATCCTAAATTGGGATAATTATAGTAAAAATATTATTTTTATGATTTAGTTAGAGACATATGTCAGATGGCAGTGAAGGAAAACAAAACAAAAGTATTTAAGTGTGGAGGATGTTTGAAGATCATAATTATTGAAACACTTTAACCGACTCTGTAACTCGTTACCCAAGGTAAAAAGTTAAACGCAAACAACTTTATTGATAAATGTATTGTTTCTACTTTAAAAAATACTAATGGGCCTTGAAATTAAAGAAGTTTTAAAAATTTTCTTGAATTTTTTTTTTAGTAAAATGAGAATAATTTATTCGCATTCGAAAAAATTGTTTCCGCGTATTTTTTAGGGTCAAATATTTCAAGTTAATGTATTCAAAAAGCAGGAATTGCTATTTTAAGAACGAAACATTTTCTTATTTAACAACATGGCGGCTTTAACTTTGTTGTTTTGGAGATTAAGATGGAGTAGTTCGAGTAGTCGCATACTGGACTAATAAAGTCGCAGTTCGGCCTTAACAGGTAGTATACTAGTCGCAAGATTGCCTAATTTAGTCATTCTAGAGTCTAGCTTGTGCCGCCCTCTATAATCTAAATAAACGAGGAAGTGTCGGTAATATATGTCGATGTATATTTAAATTTAGTTTTATATGTACCTTTCTTATGTCCCATTTTAATTAAGTTTTTTTTTTATAAAAACAAAAACAGCACTGAACTGTCTGACTGAACAGAACAATGAATTGAAAATTTAAGATTTAAGGTTATGGTTCAATACAGTTGCAAAAAGGTAGTGACTCTACGTCCTACCAACGTAAGAATAAGGAAATCTAAACAACGTTGGAATTAGTAAAACAGACGACGTTTGCATAACGTTGGAATAGGTCCTGAAACTGACGTCGGAAAACTCTATATTATCCAACGTTGTAACTACGTTGTCCAAATCACCTAAAGATCACTTAAGCAAAAAAGGTTACAAGACAACGTTTATTCGACGTCGCAGAAGCTTCTACTTTGCTGTAGTACTAGTCCAACGTCGGCACAACGTTATAAAAACGTTTAAATTTATTTTAATACCCAAGGTAGGGAGCTAACTATTTTTTGTAACTAATCCAACGTTGTGTTTAGTAAACATGTGGTCGCAAGTCGTGAAAATGCTACTTGGGATTTCTATGAGCTTTACTACATTATTCTAAATATTGTAGGCTTGTAGCTAACTCACATATTTCACTTTAACACCGCTGTGTTGATCCAACGGAGACCAATTTGTCAATGGTCTTTTACTAGTAAAGGAAATTTGCCTAACCGTGCTTAAAAAATGGTTAACATTTGAGGAGGTGTATCTCATCCCTTCGTCAGTAGCAAAAAAAACAAAGAAAAACTATTTAAAATATCTAATTACACCTATTTAGAGATAAGATATAAGTTGAATCAACGCCAGTGGTATTTACAAAAAATAACTTTGTATGCACAGGGTGGGTCAAATTCGACGCTTTTCTATAGGAGATAGACAAAAACTAATATCGATGTCTGGAGCTCAATTTTTGCCAAAAACATGATGGTGAAAACCGCATATCGATATCTGTTACCGTTTCGGAGTTCCGCGGTGTTTTCCAAAAATATGCATTTTTAACAAATCGCTGTAACTTTTTTGCTATGGAAAATGTTGTATTTTTATAAAAACATTTCCAAAGCACCTTTTTACGTAGAATTTAATGGTTTAAGTATAATTTTTTTAAAATTAATAATTTAAGAATTATCAACAGAAAATTTGATTTTTTTATAAGGGACCCCCTGTATATTTTTAATTTATCGAAAAGAATTCTTTTCAAAAATATAACACACTTCATATTTTGCTCGATTCCTCTTCGAGATATAGAGTAAATAAAAATTCACCCTCTTTAAATAAGTAGGCACCGGCTGTAATGCAAAAAAATTCTAGTTGTGAGCATCAATTAAAACGAAAATAATATTTGTTATGAGAGATGCAGAATTTTATAGCAATTTAAAATATATTTAACCAACATGCACATTTTTGAAAAACACCCCGTAACTCCGAAACGGTAGCAGATATTGATGTGCGGTTTTCACCATCATGTTTTTGATGAAAATTGAGCTCCAGACACCCATATTAGTTTTCGTCTATCTCCTATAGAAAAGGGTGTTTCCATTTAAAAGCGTCGAATTTGACCCACCCTGTACTGGCTTAAAATCATTATTTTTAGTTTTGATGAAAACGGTTTTTATGATCTATCAGCTAACTTCAAATATATCTACCAGAAAGTTAACAAGAAAATAATCTATATTGGACACTCTATGGGAGGCACAGGCATGGGCGTATACGCATCATCAAAAAACAAAGAGGCGCAACAATTCATAGAACAAGCCATTGTAGTATGCCCTATTTTTCATATCAAGCATAGAAAACTATCCCTCTTTTCAGAGCTATCTCCATTTACGATGTTGGGAGTGGTAAGAATCAAAATTAAATCAAACCTATGAAAAAAAAAGCATTAAAAAATTAAATAAAAACCAAGGTCTGTATTTAAGAAAGTAAAATTGATAAGTTGGTAGAAGTAAATTCAATTCTTATTAATTTTTAAAAAACTTACCATAAAAAACATTTTTTTCCACTGCCTAGGTATATTTTGTTTAAACTCCAGTGGTATCATACACCATAACAATTATTGTCGAAACAATCATTTTTGATGCATGATTTTTCTGCATACTGAAAATGAAAAAAAGAGTAAATTTAACACTAAAATAGTTTCAAATTTATTTACATATAAAGAGCAATTGTATTATTAATTTAAACAATTTTTTTACAGGAACTGTCAAAATTAGCTAATTATCGAGTACTAGTGCCAGAAGATAGTGTGCCATACCGTTTTATCACTGATTTTTGTATGTCTTCACTAAACATTTTGAGATTGTGCCTATTGATGTCTGGCATAGGATCTGGACCCATAAAATTCGATGCAGTCAGTATATTTTATTGAATACAATCATAAAATTATAATTAATAATCCTACTATCAGTATTAGGCATATTAAACAATGATGATATTTTCTGTACACTTCTGCAAAAAGATTGCCGGTTTTCAGTCATTTTAAAAAACGCCAAACCGAGAATCGAAGCCAGGCAGATTAAAAAACGATCAAAGTTTAGTCAGCTATGAGCATAAGCATATTGAATAATTCACGCTTTAATAAAAATACCCCATATTTTCCTATACAAAAACAATAATTATTTATGTCAAAATTTTATTATGTTTAAACGAAAACAATCTTAATTTTAAATACAAGATATACTAAAACCTTAATATTAATATCTCGTTTAACCCTGCGGACGGGGCGCCCAAGTGTAGCTCATGAGCCGGGGCGCCGGGTCTCTGAGACCCATCGTCAAATATCGCGTTTTTTTGGGAAAAAAATTAAAACACTATATTTTAATTGAAAAAATATACCTTAGTTTATTCAAATATTATAATAGAAACACGATTTAAATATACATAGACAAATTTTATCTTGTTCTAAAATTTGCTGTCAAAAAATATACCATTTTCTAAAACCTAGGAAACAACTGGTAAATAGGTAAACAAAATAAGATTTTCTAGTGAATCATTATAAAAATATTATAGAACAATAGTTTTTATTGATTTATGGCAATTTCTGAGCACTCAGGACACCAAGCTTCCATGTGAGAGAGACAAACAAATTTTTTACATTTTTTGCAAAAATATTTGGTTTTTGAATCCTTTTGCAAAACAGCATCTTCTTCTGGTACCTGGTGGATTTCTTCATTTTTCATATTTTCTTGTGTTCCAGCGACTTCTTGTCTTCTTTCTTTCACCGACCTTGGCACATTTGTTTCATAGTGCGGGCGTTCCTCTTCTCTCTCGCGCATAATTTTTCGCTAATCCAGAAATATAGTGATTTGTGTTCTCCCCTATAATGTTGAGCATTTCAGTAGTAAAAAATAACGACCAATATTCATCGGGTGTTTTGGCGTTTTTCCCACAGTTTCTGACGCCTGGTAATCGCACAATAATATTTTCCCTTCTCGTTCTTACTGTTTTGTTTGGGCAATGTTTATGCCACCGCGTTGTGCCATCTTTTCCAATGAAAGTTGGAATTCTTGCTAATTTTGCAAGGGGTACATCGTCGTCACTGCTATCAGAACACTCTTGTTCGGATTCGCTATCAGTGCTTCGAGTTTCAACATGATTTTCCTGAAACACCAACTCCTCTTCTTCATCATACGGCTCTTCCTCTGATGCAACTTCCTCCCATAAACGACAAAGTTTTTCTTGCTCTTCTTCATAATAATTAGACATTGTTGCTAAATAAAACAAATCCTATTTATAAAATTTATACAATATAAGTGACATTTACCCTAACTTACCAAAGAAAAATATATCCAGCCAGTTGTAGAAAAAATACACTGAGCCGGGGCGCTGGGTCTCACAGACCAAAATCAAAATAATTCAGAAACTAAAATACTTGCTCATCCACGAATTACTGTGCACGTACTGAGTCTAAGCATAAACAGGTAGATAGATCGCCAGGCAATTACGACGATTTTCCGAAAATTGCGGATAGGTTTTCGGAGCGCCGGGTCTCAGAGACTAGGCGCCCCGGCCGGAAGGTTAATTATTATTATACTCTGTAATTCGATTCTGTGTACAGTGCTGTTTTTCTGTGGAACTTTGCTCTCTTTTAGAATAAAATGAATTTAGATTTTCATTATAATCATCCTCAACCATACTCTATTTAACAGAATTATCACTTTTTGTGCCATTATTTCCAAATTTTGAAAGAGAAGTTCAAGAAACGTCGTTGGATAAATTTAGGTTAGTTATACCAATCCCGCGTAAAATGTTTAGTACAATCTGACTAGTTTTCATTAGGCATTTTGCAAACCGACTGAAAATAGATAGACTCTTTGTAAATATCCTTTTTTTGTTAAAACTCCGGCCTTTTATAATATGCCTAGTCTTTATGTCAAATGCCGAGATTTTGATACGTCTGCGACATAAATATACATTCTTCATCTTTAATCAACATAAAGACTCACTGTTAATTATTGGAACAAATATATTTATCTTATTATTTCAGGATAGAATCCCTTTTGTTCTAAAAGCGTTAAAGAATGGTAATTACAAATCCATAACGCAATATGTTCAGTATGGACGTTCAGGAGAATTCCGAAAATTTGATCACGGCAAAAAGAAAAATATGGCTCTCTATAATTCAACTGTTCCACCACCATATAACCTGTCTAATATACTGATTCCTATGACGCTAATATATGGTCAAACAGATAATATGGCTAACAAAGAGGTGCAGATTTTAAAAACATGTTAATATTATTTTTGGAAAATATTTAAGGATTTTTTCGATGTACTTATGGATCTACCTGTATAATTATTGGCGTTTTGTTACTTTTTCTAGGATGTTATATACGACTACAACAATTTTAAGAAGGATAATTGGGAAATCTATGGTATTCCATACAATCATATTGATCTCCTGGTTAGTAGGAACGTTGTTGACCAGTTTTACCCTTTGCTGTTGAACTCTGTCAAAAGGATATGAGAAAAATGATAATATTCATTTTTATTAATATAAATATTATGTAAAAAACCTGTTAAAAATGGATTTTAAATTGTAACCTTACAATAGAGAATTATAAACTTTTACTACAATGCAATCAAGGCTTTTCTTTCTACCTTCAAATGTCACTTTTGACATAGAATTCAAAATAGTGTTAAAATCTTTGAATAAAGAGATAAAGGAAGGAATAATGATATCCATGTATCCATGCATGGTCGAGGGAAAGAGGATTCTAGGGTGGGGATCATTGACAGTTCTGTTTGACGATTCACTTGACACATTTGAATGTGATTTGAAATTTTGTGGATTGGAAGCGTTTTTGGAGTATGGTTTATAATACAAACTATCATTATTTCGGTTAGTTCTATCGAGATACCTGCAGTTATTCTAGTAAAATCTGAATCACCCTGTATATACATACTTGTAGTAAACCGATCATTTATGAAATTCACTTAAAATTAACTAATTATATATTTTTTCTTGCATTTTTGCTTTTATTTTCTACTTGTTAACAGATTAGATGTCAAAGAATTTAAATATATCAATTTGACTTAGCTGCTTCAGTGGCGTATCGGATGTTTGTGTTAATAAATAATTATTATAACTTATCTATTTTTATTAGAATTATATATTTCTGTAACTATTTTAATAACTACCAACATTTATTGACAACGTAAAATAAAACAAAGAATTATTGAGTCTACCCTACATCATATTTTTACACGTTTTGAATAAAATTAGAATGGCACTGATAAACCGGAAGTCGGCCATTTTTGATCCCCTTCGCGTTCGAAGTTTTTTGATATACTCCTTCCTTAGTGTTTCAATTCAACCACACTTACTAATATCTACATTAAGTAGACTATCTAATTGGACTATTATAATCTCTAGATATTACAAATATAAAAAATAGAATTAATTTTTAATTAAAATAGACTGCTTTGATTTCCTTTGGTTATTTGAAGCACGACGTAGACCTCGATATTTTCAACTAAAATCTGATAATAATTAAACGATATTTTTGTATAATGTGCGTGAAAAAACGGAATATTTAAATGAAGCGTTCCAGTATTAGTTATATTTAAAAAAATCGAAGAAAAATTAAATTTAACATAGTATTTTTTTCTACTGCCAAATGACAATAATAGATCCTTCAGCCCTTTTTTAAATATGGATTTATAATCACTTCTTCAATCATTTTAAAGCTTGGAACACTTTGACCTGGTCCAGCCATGGTAAAATTTAGGTTTTTGGTGAGGTTGTCTCCTCTTGGTCTGGGTGGTTATTTTTTTAAGCCAATTTTCTATCGAATAAAGTATAAAAATGTAGAGGGTTCTATTCAAAAATCAAAAGTTGTAGTCATTTCCGGTGAAACAGGAAGTGACCGAAAACAATTGAGGTGCCAAATTGCAAATTTAAAAAAAAATGGCCTAATGACATATATTAATAATGGGACCCTGAAATCTACATAAACATACTCCCAAACTGCAGTAAAAGTCGCCTATTCCTATATGTATAAAATTTATTACAAATTACGTTACTGCAGCAAAATCTGTCTTATCCACTTATATTTGCTTTTTATTGTTACAAATCCCGCATTTTTTCATAAGCTTTTTACACAAGTATTAATATTATACTGACGTCTTTTCAAATCCTGACTTAATTTGAATAAAATAGTATATTTAATAAATCAAGTCAGGATGCAAATACTGAGTGCTCGAATAAAAACGGCGTCCAGTTGGCTGGGAAGTGACGATCGATGGCATTTCAAATTTACATAATTCCATTCAAATTTACATATAAAATGACAGCGTTCTTCATTTCATAGCCAATATGCATCATACTGCAACAAAACCCACCTTGTTTTTTCTTTTTGAAAATTAAATATTAATTTTTATTTCTAGAAAAACGAGATACAAAAATGTTGTATCAAAAAAGTGCTATAACCCTAGATCATAAATATATACTTACGTGGATCAAAGACGTGGATAAGTAAATCACTATGGAAACGGTCGTAAACATATCAACGACTTCCATTTATCCTCTTTTTTTGTTGCACACGCGGTGCTTCTACTCCATTCTACTCTATCTATCCTTGTCGAGGACCTATCGGCCACGCGCCAAATTTGAACATTAATTTTCAAAATTTAATTTGTAAAACGCATATATTTGAACAATAAATTGAATGTTTACTGTCACAAAAATTGAATTATATAAAAATACATTTACCCACTCCGTACGAATATCAATATTCCTAGGAAATGTAACCGGAAAGTATGCATGCGGTTTAATATAAATAAAAGAACAACTGAACGCTTTAGTTGCCTATGAAAAGATAATTCGGGGACATTTATATTAGAACTTCCACGCACCAAACACTTTCTAGTCATTTTCACGAGTATTTAGAAAGTTCAACGAAAACAAAAATCGAAATATAATTGCACAAACTTAAAATTAACTTCTCACTGAACACACTTTTGCATCCTTGGCTATATAAAAGCGGTCAATAAAAGAATAATTAATACAATTTAAAAAATAAAAAACGCAAAAAAAAGCGTCGTTACACGATGGAAATAAGATTATGACATATGATTATGACAAGATTATGACGATATTATGATGAAAAGTTGGTTTCCATAACAATGTATAATTTGTACTTTCTAAACCGTATAAAATTGTGATTATTTTGGGAAATACGGACAACTTTTAATGCGCATGGCGCAATGTAAGGTCCTCGGAAAAGACAAACTTATTGAACGTTTCATAAGTGCAATAAAGAAGGTTTGAAAATGGCATGTTGTGATGTTGGAGACACATTTTTTAATGACAAACATATGGCGTTGATTTATCCATGTAAGTATATTATGATCTAGGGCTAAAACAAGTTTTGCTTATTATATCGAAACAGCAGCTTCTGAGGTCCTGGGTACAATCGACAATAATGAAAGGAAAAGAAGCCTTACTGGTGGGACACGGATATACAGGATATTATAGAGGATAAAAGACGCAAATATACAAAATACTTGAGCACCAAGAAGATCGAAGACAAACTAATATATAAAAAAGCCCAAGCTAAAGTACGAAGAGAAATATGCCAGAAGAAAAATCTGAGATGGGAAAAGAAATGTAATCAACTAAACACATATATAGGAGGTAGAAGAAGCACAGAAAGTTGGAAATTTATAAAAAATGTCAGAAAGGGAAAAGGCAAAGAAATCATCTCCCCGATTATACCACAAAAATGGGAAGAATACATGGAAAATCTTATGACGGAAAATAGAGTCGAATTTATGGACTGCCCTGACGTGACGACAAATATAAGAAACATGGGATCACCGATTAGAATATCAATGGACGAAGTAATTAAGGCATGTACCTCATTAAAAAACCGTAAAGCACCCGGACCGGGAAATATACCGGCAGAGTTAATTAAATCAGGACCGAAAAAACTGTACGAACATTTAAGGAAAATATTCCAGGACTGCATAAACGGAACGGATGTACCACAAGAATGGAATGAGGCTTACCTATCAACTATATACAAAAAGGGAGATCGTACTAAGTGCGAAAACTACAGGGGAATATCAGTAACAGTCACCGTGAGTCGAATATATGGAAAAATTTTGAGAAATAGGATCGAAAACGAATACCAAGAAATAGAAGCCGAAGAACAAGCAGGATTTAGAGCCGGAAGATCGACGGTGGATCACTTATTTACAGTCACTCAAGTAATAAGTAAAAAGAGCAATCTAAACCAAGAGTTACATCTTGTGTTCGTGGACCTGCAGAAGGCATACGACAGCGTTCCCCTTGTGAGACTTTGGGAAGCTATGGAAAAAACCAATATAAATGTAGAGCTAATAAAAGCAGTAAAATCATAATATAAACAAACAAAAACTAGAATAAAAGTCTGTGACGACTTTTTCTGTCATCACTCAAACAGAAAGAAAAAGGTATCCGTTGCTCAGGGTTAGAGGAGAGCTGGGTTCGTAGGTAAGGCTTGTGACCTGTGGTGACTTAATAATGTTGTTAAATAATAAAATAAAAGTAATAATGTATAGGCTGCAAAGATTCTAAAATTGATGTTAAGTATTCAAATAGTAATGGTCAAAGACAGTAAAAAGGGCGCCACTTACTTTGAGTATGAAAAGGTAAAGTAAGAAACCAGTAAGAAAATTTGATCATGAAATAGCTAAAATAAAATAATCAACAGCAATAAGGGTCTATTATGTTCATCAAGAATAAAAGTCAGATATAACTATCCTACGTTGAACATTTATTTAAAAACGAACACAATTATCAATCAGTTTAAACCCAGTTTCAATTATCCCAATGAAATCGTTAGTTGCTTTAAGTAAACTCAAATTTAGTTAAAGTTCTCTTCAGTATACTATACTACGTAATATATAAACAGGTGAAATTTATGTAAGTACCAATACGATGATGTTTCGAAACAAATCGTGTACAATAACCTTCAAAAATGAATCCGTGTTAGCGATTCTCACATAAAAGATCATACTGAAGTAAAACGTACCGTTAAGGACAAAGCATGACTTATAATGTTAACTAAAAGGTAAATTTTGACTATAATATATGGAATAAATGACATCAATTTACAGAGATATTCAAAATATTATCTCAAAGTAAAAAAAATTTAGGGAATACCTTGTGTGTTGAACTTAGAACTTATCTGTATTTTTTTTTTATTTTGTGACGTAGTGAACAGGTAGGCAGGCAGTCTCCAGACTAACGGAAGTGGATGTAGACTCTTCGATAGCAGCAGGAGTCTTCGACATCAATAGAATAAATGTAGAGTCATAAATACTGTCTCAAAAGTGGTTACTCACATGCCAATTACTTATACGCCAGTTACTTATACGTCAGTTACTGGTCTGAAAATCAGCTGTACACATTCCAAAATATAGCCAAACTATATGCTGATCCAAACCAGTAATGCACAATCAAACATTATCAAAATAAATAAAAAACGGGAATAATGTGATCTTATTCCAGGAAAAGGCCAAAAAAACACGAACTAGGCTCTGAACAGTATATTCTACAGGATTTCAAATCTCCACCTTTGGATACCCGTGCCTTTACTGTTAGGAAAAGTGTTTCAGAAAGCCCTTTTTCTCTGAGATTCGTCGGACGCTGAACCACGCGTCTTTTTCTGATCTCAATCTCTCGGAAAAAGCCTCTGTCCTCCTTTTCGCAAAACGGAAGTCTTCGAATTGACAGGTCATATGACCAAAGGCAATTAAGTGACCTCTATCGTCTATACTGAATGACATTTGTTTTTATGGAAAGGAACCGCTACCTGTACTGAATGAAGTTTAACATCTAGCGAATAGATGGCGCCAGCAATATTAAAATTTGGAATTTTATAAAAAGAAAAATAAAACGCTACAAGTCGGCAAAAAGTTAACGGCAACAGGATTTAATGGAACCAAAGGTCTGAAACAAGGGTGCTGTATTTCACCAACACTGTTCAAGATATATCTCGAACAAGTTCTCAAAGGTTGGAAGCAAAAATGTCGAAATATGGGAGTACCCATAGGGGATAACATGCTCTACACACTTTGCTTCGCGGACGATCAGGTGATCATAGCACAAGATTACGATGACATAAATTAGAAGAATATCAGAAATGGGGACTCGAGATCAATACTAACAAAACAGAATATATGTGTATCGGAGGAGCACAACAAGATCTAATACTAGAAGAAGGGAAGAAAATTAAGTGCTGCACAAAATACAAATATTTGGGTATGCAAATCACAAATGATGGACTGTTGGATACAGCAATTAAAGAACGAAACCAACTTGGAAGGAATGCTATCACGGTATTGAATGGGAAACTGTGGGACAGAAACATAAACAACAAGAACAAAACTCTAATATACAATACCATAATAAAGAGTATAACCACGTACAGCTGTGAAGTCTGGCCAATTAAGGAAACAACAAAACGAATGCTGGAAGCTACAGAGATTGATTTTTGGAGAAGATCAGCAGGCAAATCAAGACGAGCGAATAACTAATGAACGCATAAGAGAGATTATGGAAGTTAAACATACGATAGTGGACGACATAAAGAACAGTCGGGTGGTACGGGCATGTCCAAAGAATGGTACGGGCATGTCCAAAGAATGGCAGAAATAAGAATCCCAAAACAAATTATAAACTGGAAACCTGCAGGAAGAAGAAAACCGGGTAGACCGAGAAGAAGTTGGCAGGAAGGGATTGACACGTTTATGGAGGAAAGATCTCTCGGAGACGGTGCATGGAGAGACAGACAGGCATGGAGAGATAGCATCGGAAGACGTTGAACGTTTTAAACCGATTAATATATATATATCGAAACAACGTTTGTAGGAAAAGCCAGATTTTGCAAGTTAACGTCTCAGTTGAATACGCTTAATATATATAATAATTAAATAAAAAGTTATAAGTTTGAGTCGCTTTTGAGAAACACCCCGTATGTATATTGTCCTAAAATTATCATTAACGAAAACAATTTTAAGTTATCTTAATATTGAAATTACTTATCTGTACTTACATTACCTTACTTATCTATACTACTTATCTACTTATAGACAATTACTTCATACCATAGATATATTTTGTATCAACACGTGCCAAAATTGTAATTACCAATTACAACAAACATATATAAACTTATATTGATACTTATTTTATGTGCATTTTTATGTCGACCGCATAGTTCTTATTGCCCGCAACATAGAAGCACTTGGCCATCCTATATATTTCCTAAAATTAAAATAAAGTTTTGAGTAAACATTAAAAACGAAGAAATAATGCGCACTTTATCTTTTGATATAGTTTTGATTTTCTTCAATTTGTTTGCATTAATTTGTGAGAATGTCGCTAGAGGGCCTTCAACAGTATGCAATACTACGGAGGCATATTTTGATCATCCAGATACAAATAGCAACTGTAGAATTGATAAAGACCTTAATGTTTCAGTGGTAAGTAGTTTTGGAAGTATTTTTGAAAAAAATATCAGAAAAATAATAATACAGATCCCGGCAATAGTGCGTCGGGCAGTTAACGGTAAACTTTTCAGGGTAAATAATTATATTTTTAGAGTGAAATAGCCAAGAACCATGGTTTTACTCTTGAAAAACACACAATAGAAACAGACGATCTGTATGTATTAACCACCTATAGATTAAAAAAAACAGACAAAGATTATGGAAACAAAACTATTTTTCTTCAACATGGTTTGATGGCCGATTTTACCAGTTTTATATATAATGGCAATAATTCTCTAGGTAAAAAATAAAAGAAATATTGAAACATTCTAAACAACTTTTTTTTCAGCTTTCTATTTAGGAAATCTTGGCTATGATGTCTGGTTAGGGAACTACAGAGATACTGAGTACTGCAGTCATAAGTACTTGCTACGAACAGATCCAAAATACTGGGAATTTAGGTAGTATTAATAAAATCACGCAAATGTTTTACCGATAACGACTGTACTGTTCTCCAAGCTCGGTCTACTACCGATCTATCACGTAGAAAATTAGACGATGTGTCCTGTCAATAAAAGTCGACAAATTTGCAAGTAGAATGTAGAATAAGTAGGAAGGGGAGGGGGGGTAATGGACTGATACCTTAAAGGGCTATAGTGTCCACTTTCCTTGAGTTATAAATCATCAACAACGTCTCTATAACGCATCATGAGATGTACGAAATACGTTAGAAATGTACGAAATATAATTTTTTAATATTTTAAAAAAATACTATTATCTCTCAGATGTGGTTTCAAAAGTTTGAAAAACTACTTGAAAGTGTCTCGAATCTTAGAAATCAGTTCGATAACTTGAGAAATAAAACTGATAATTGTGCAACTAAGTGCAACATAACGGTACGATTTAGTGATAAAAGAATAAAACAATCCAGACTGTATTTTGATGAAAAAAATAATGAAAATGTCCTGGAAACAAGACAAAATGTTTTTTTTTCCGGTTTATAAAATGTGAACGAAATATGTACTTCAAGACTTGCTCACTGCCAGGGACAAGACAGTGAGATACTCCTTAGATCCAGACAGAGGGGGATTCCCCCTAGCACTTGACTCGCCTAGCAAAGTCTCGCATCTGTTAAGGCGCATTCTCACAACTCGTGTACTTGACAAACATTTGTTATTGGAATATACTAGCCATGTCGTGAGAACGCCCAAGTAGCATTTTCACGACTTGCGACCACATGTTTACTAAACACAACGTTGGATTAGTTACAAAAAATAGTTAGCTCCCTACCTTGGGTATTAAAATAAATTTAAACGTTTTTATAACGTTGTGCCGACGTTGGACTAGTACTACAGCAAAGTAGAAGCTTCTCCTCGCGACGTCGAATGTTGAATATTTTATTATTATTTACGATCGGGCGCCGTATTTTCGATGTATAAATTCTATAATTAAAACAATATAACATTGTTTCGATGCGTTAATTTATATTTACATGGAGCCGGTGGCGGTGGCGGTGCAGTTGCATTAGGACGCGCGTGATTAATTAATTTCCATAAATTCGCGTGTTCGGGAGGGCGGCGCCAGGGGGCGTAATTGATGTCTGCGATGTGGTGACGCGTTTGCAGTTTGTCTATTTTGTGTGTTTTTTTTGGATGGGTATGTTTTTTCGAGTCTACTAGTGCAAAATTGATTAATTTAACACCTAAATATGTATAATAAACGAATTCTAAAACATTATAACAATAGTTATTTTTTATACAAGACGATAAAATGGTATTTTATCGTCGACCGAAAAGATTAATGAATTAATTTTGGAAGACGATAATGCAATTTTATCGTCGTGTATAAAACAATATTTTTTTTCCATAGCGAGTTACGTTTTAAAAAATATTCAGAAATTATTATTTCAGGTTGGCTTTGGTTTCTATGAAATTTGACAAATAAATAAAGCTGTCTCTTTAGTTGTCAGTTTTGAGTCAATATTTTTTAATTCTCTTTCGTGTCGATTGCTGACTGAATTAGAGCTAGAAATGACTCAAAACGAAATAAGTAAATTACCAACTGATATTCAGGCTGAGGCGACAAACGCTATATCCAAACTACTTCCATTTAAATCCCGAATAACTTATGAAAAGGAAAACAAAAGTATTCAAAAATGGAAGCATTTAAAAACGTGCGAGAAGAAATATAGTTTTTAACCTATCCTCGCTGTTAAAGTACAATTTTATCTACTATTTTTTATAGATATAAGGCAATTTTAACAGTTGCTATGGAAAAAATATTATTACGCCCTTAAAACTTCATTTTTTTGGAAGTAACGAATGAGTCATCGGCTGGTCATCACAGACAATTTTAGCGATTTTTAATAGTTTGTGTGTAGTGAACTTTATCACAATGATGATTAGTTGTTCAGCTTTCAAGTGTAAAAGCTGCAGCGATAAGAAAGAGCCAGGAGGTACTTTTCATAGGTAAATAAACAGCCTACTCTACCTTTTAGCGTTTTTTTTATTGAATTCGATAATTATTTTGCCTATATTATTTGTACTTGATATGTGCTACGCGTCGATACCAGTTTTGTACCTTTTGTTAACATTTTAATACGTTTTTTCGTAATTAATTAGTATGATACATACCGCATACACCATTGGCGTAGTCAAAATATTTATCAAAAATATAAATATCTCTTCATGTAACTATGTTAAGTAAAAAATGTGCCACGACACTGTTTGGAAGTATGGTAACAGTTTGATCTCGGGTGTTATTATTCCTTGTATTCTTTAGTCATTGGTTATGAGACTTTAAGTCTATCCAGCGATGTCGCAATTTTCCGGACTTTCGGAACTTGATATCTAAGAAAGCAGTTTTGATATCTAAAAAATGTAGTGGGTCTGTGAACAAAAATATAAAATAAATAAAAAACCTGGCATTGCAAGTTCAATAGGCAGATAAAACTGATGATATTGATCAACTAAACAATTTTGTATGAATTAATTAATAAGTTATTGATAAAAATCTATATGGCAGGGTTCAGTAAGTTATTAGAAATTTTGAAAGCGATAGGAGTGGAGAATGTAATATAGTAGATCACTAGATCTAGATAACCAGAATAAAATCATCATGATCATTTTCAGCTTATTCAACCACTTCCAATTTAGGTGTAGCCTCTATCACATACACACACCGGAAAAATCTAGGGATATCATTTTATTAAAGTTAAAAATAAATGTTTTGAATAAACAACCACATATTTGTATGCCAATTCTTTCTACTTCGATTGAAACGAAGTAGTCACGCTAGTTATTTCTAAATTTGGGATATTTGCAGAAGTGTTTGTGCATTTTTTGTCAAATGTGTAAAAAGCACCTAGCATCAATTGTTCGAATTTAACCTCTACTGGCTATGTTTTTATGATAACTGGCCAGAATTCATTCAAATAACTCTGTTTAGTATTAAACGACATTATGGAGCGTAGACATCTTAACAGAGACGAAATGCTAAGGGCCATGGGTATGCTCGAAGCTGGAATGCGCCAAAACGACGTAGCTAGAGCATTAAATACAACGCAAAGTGTAATATCGCGATTAAGTGAAAGTGGTGATGTTGCTGAAAGACACACAGGGCGACATCGCATTATTACCCCTCAGCAAGATCATTTTTTACAATTAAATGCTCGACGCCGACCGACTCTTACAGCACCAGAGCTTAGTTTAATTCTCCAGGAAACACATAATGTAACCGTTAGTCCTGACACTGTTCGCAATAAATTAAGAGAGGTCAACTTAAGAAGCAGACGCCCCTGGAGAGCTCAATCCTTAACGAGAGGAAATCGAGAGGTACGATATTTGTGGGCTCAAGATCATGTTCAGTGGTCGAATGAACAATGGACCAATGTTCTCTTTACGGATGAGTCACGCTTTGGAATTCATCCAGATTCGAGAAGGCTTAGGGTATGGAGAGAACCGGTAAATCTTATTCGGTTGGATCATGTTCAGGAAGTGCACCCTTATCAAGGTGGAACAGTTATGGTCTGGGGAGGAGTCCAGTTAGGCCGAAAAACCGATCTCGTTTTTCTTGAAAGGTTTCTAACAGGAATCACATATATGATTGATTTCTTGAGCCTGTCGTTTCTCATGCATGACAATGCACAGCCTCATACAGCCAGAGTTGTAAGTAAGTTTATCAATGCTCATCAATTAAACATCTTACCCTGGCAGGCACAATCTCCTGACCTCAACCCCATCGAGCACGCATGGAATGCGGTCCAAAGAAGAATTTTGAGAATGGATATGTATCGTGAAACTCGTAGGGATCTGGTTCGGGCCGTGAATGCAGCGTGGCAGGCTGTACCGCAAGAAGAGATCGACAACCTGATCAGGAGCATGGAGAGACGACGTAGGGCTGTAATGAACAGTAGAGGAGGCCACACCCTTTATTAAGTAAAAATGGTTTTATCTTTTTTTTTTAATTCACAGTTTAGAATAAAAAAAATGTTTGTTTTTTTTGAGTTCAATAAAAATCAAGGTAAATTTGAAAAGTTCGGTAAATTTCGCATTTTTATTTCCAATACGTCCAGTAAATTATTTGTTTATTTTAATTTTATTATATCAGAAATTCAAATAATAAAATTACTGACGATGGCTGGATAAAATTGTAATATTCCTAGACTTTTCCGGTGTGTGTATTTAGATACTCTCTTTGTTACTGGGCCCAATGTTGTATATTGTTGGCAGGCCCATGTTATCCCTGCCAATTTCCTAACACCATGGACCTATCTTAGGTTTCGTCTTCTTCTAGGTTTCCTAATTCCTCGAGGGTACCATGCTGTAATTTTTGTGGTCCATCTATTGTAAGTCCTTCTTGCTAGGTTTCCTGCCTATTGCCACTTAAGGGATTTGATTTTGTTGATGACATCTATTACCAGGGTCTTTTGTTGTATCCACTTTAATCTTTAACGGTTTTTCTTGGTTATTCCCAGCATATTTCGTTCCAGTGAACGTTGTGCAACCTGCAGATTCCTTATAATGTCCGTTTTAAGTGTCCATATTTGGTTTCTAATCTAAGATATTCAAATATGTAAAAAATATACATTTAAGATCACTTTTTTCTTATCTTTTATTATTGTAAATAAACTCGGTATCTACTTTTTGACGAAACGTATCGTATAATCAAATTAAAATATCGAATAAACATAAAATTCTGTTGTAATAAAATCGTGTTTACCACTTTTTTATCGTCACAAATAAAGTGCCAGTCAATTGAATTGTCATTAATCAAAAAGAACAATTCGACTGATCGTAAAACCAATTGATTTTATGTACTTTTTATTGACTTTTACTATTAGAAGAACCATAAATTTGTTCTTTAGTCACTTTTATGTTGTAGAAGCAACTGGTAAATTCGGATTACTTAATGTCGTTTATGTCCTAATTTAATTGAGACATAAGAAAATATATAGGGTGTT